GCAGACGAATTAAAAGTGCTGACTCAAACCGGCCAAAGACATACCTAAGCAAACGACACTCTTTACAACTGCGTTCGACACCCTGGTGCAGTTGAGTGAGCAGCTTTAATCTTCTTGGATGGTGATGCTCAGATTCTTCTCACTTGAGGCATACGGCAGCTGTTCATTTTCGAGGAACTACAAAAAGCACCCCTTGTGTCGTACAGATAAAACATTACACTTTGTCACATTAAATTCAATATCGTTCAAAAGAGACGAAAGATGAGTTGCTTCCAGCGTTTCCTGGAATACCAGCGAGCCCGCTAGTTTATCACTGTATTCCATTGGTGTTATCTACAAACAATAATGATTTTGGCCCCAGAGCCTTCAGTAGATCATTTATGAATGATAGGAAAAATCGCGGGCCAAACACAAATCCTTTTCGAACCCGGCGGGTAATNTGTCCATAGGACTGGAAAGCGAATCAGAAACACGAATTGATACGGTCGGATACCGTAGAAATACTTCGATCAACTCAAGCGTGAGGCCCCGATACCCTAATTATAGAGTTTTCGCATTACATTCTCGTGGTTCACCCCATCGAACGCTTTTGAGAAGTCCAGATCAATAACGTCTAGCACATCGCCGTCGTCAACTGCTTTTGTCCATTCATCTCGTACGATGAATAAATCGCTAGCGCAGGATCGCTTCTGTCGGAATTCATATTAATTTCGTGGCAGAACGTTGTGCTTTAGATGTTCCATCAAGGAAATCAGCTACCATGGACTCCGTGACTTTGGAAAACACTGGAAGGAGGGTTACAGAGAGGTAGTTAGCGGGATCGCTACAGCAACAGCCTTTGTAAATGGATGAAATTACTCTCTTCTTCCAGGATGGTGGGATTGCAGTGTAACCGAACATCCTCTGGGATAGAAAGGTTAGTGGCTCAGATATTTGATTTGCCAAGCAGATAAGGATTTGGGGTGAATATTGTCTGCACCTGGCGATTGGTTCTTCCTCAGAGCCAATAGTTTTGCCTGTACCTGTTCGGTAGTGCATGATACGGTGGTTGGTAAAGGATGTGGAATATGATGCAGCCAATGAGGGAGGCACATTCCTTCATTAGTTGACGCAGCAAAACTTTGGGTATACTGGTTCTTCAGCATTTCAGCGGCTTCCATTGTATTGGCTGTGGCTCTTCCAGAAGAACTGAGCACCGGTATTCCATATTTAACTTTTCGAGCCTAGTCAGCATGTTTGTACAAAAGCTTGGGCTTTGAAACAAATCTCTGTGCTAGAGATTCTTGATGGTTTAGTTTATCTTCGCTCACCAACTTGGTGCAGTGGTTTCGAAGCAGTCGATAATTGTTCTAGGTACAGGTATTCGGGAGTCGTTTGTACTTTCTACAAGATAGGTCCCTCAAAGACATCCATTTCTTTGTTCCACTTCGAATACATAGGTAGACAGTGTGGTTTGACTTGCTTTCAACTATCCTACAAAGTGATTAATGTAGGCGGTAGGTTCAGTGGGCCTCACTTTTCAAGTGGACAGCATAACGCTTAGACTCGTTTAGTGAGAAACCGTTCTGAGTGTCGGAAAGTGAGTTTACGAGGTTCTAGTGAACCATATATATATATTCACACGACTGAGGCAGCAGAGGCTATTTAAGACACTTTGTCACACAGGAGCATTTCGTGAGGTACAATGGTAACCAGCCACACACCGAGACATCCACCCCGACCATACTGAGGCTTCCGGAGGCTTGGTATCTTGTGTAATGCTATAGAATTCTATCACAAATTGTTTTGCTAAAGCCTCTAGCACCTCTACATCAGATCTGTCTTCAGTTTTCCTCCCTTTCCTCGTGCTTCCGGTCTTGCCTATTGTGGCTGTAGCAATATGCTGTTCTAAAATGTTCGAATTTTCATCTGCTTTTGCACAACCTAACATGGAAACGTCTTTGGTCCGCGCATTCGACAGCCATTCGTGTTTCTTAATTTGCTGCTCCTCAAACCCTGCTTATCTGGAATCTATTTCAGGGTGATCGCTTGAAGATCATGAGGTTCTTAGTTCTGCGGATCTTCGGTTATTACTTCCGCGAAAAATCCGAATATTATTGAAACTGTTGGATACTTGGATTGTAAAACGATCAGTGCTATCAATGTGGCCCCGTAGCTCAGCTGACAGAGCGTTTTTTTTACCAAGGCATCTACGGCTTCCATGCGGGGGTCCGAATCCCACAGACTTTTGGGCGTTTCTCAATTTCAACCCTAATGTTAGTTTTTTTGTTATTTACTTTTGACACCGATTTATGTATATATTTCCATACAATACCCTCATTTACTTCTCATGGGTTCCCTTCAGCTTGATCTAACCTCTAAGAATCTTTTCGAAGATGTGTTCATATTTTTGGTTTAGTTGCTTCTAACCTCAGCAAATTGGACGTTGGCATCTATTTTCAATGAGTTTATACTCGGTAGTACGTGAATGAGCCAGAAAGAAATGAGAGTATTGTAGAGAAATTTACACCAGGATAACAGGTAGAAAAACAGCTTGTTGACATTGTATCAAACAGGACTACCTGATGAACCACGACTGCTAAATCGGTCATGTACTTCCAGAAACTTTTCACGTTATTTTGTTTTGTATAGCACTCATTACTTGTGATTCCTCTCCAAGATTGGGTGAGGCCTCATTCTACCTCCCCCCGCCCCCTCCTACTAAATGCTGTCTCGGTGTGCGTCTCCTGAATCATCTGCTCAGGAATTCCTGTTCATTGCTTTATGGCGGGGTTGTTTCTACTTTAGTGAGAGCGAAAAGCTAACATTCAGTGTTGCAACCGGCTCGATGAGCCACTGGGCATTTAACTCATGTAAGGGAGCTAGAGAATCCTGATTCCGACACTACCAGACAAGCGTTTGAGCTGGCTTCCAGAAATCCTGTTCGGGCTGGTCAACCGCCCAATCGGGTGATGGGGCGTATTGGATACCATGTGAACCGAAAGGCTTTTGATCCCACTGATTGGACACGCTCCAATAGACTGCAGTTTTCATACATCGCTCTGCTGGCTTGTGGGTTAGGCTTTGGCTAGCCGAAGACCGGTTTTTTATCATGCACATTTATGTGATGAATAGTAAACGGTATGGACTCCATAGTCGCGAGAACCTGCTGCTGATGGAAGCCGGCAACCTAAGCCCCTTGACTTGGAGTGGCCCTGCTGGGTATTGAACCGGACGACAGCAACGCTGCCTACCACCAAAATTCGGTAGCGGGGGCGATGTTCGAACCTCAGACCGTAGGGTCCAAAACGCGCCGGTGACAGCGACTAAAAGACTGCAACACCGTTAATAATTCCTAAGAGAACCACTTGCTTTGATTTGCGCAACTGTCGTATTTCAGCACGCAGCCATCAAAATGAAACAAGAAAGACGACCGTTGGGTTGGGTTTTAATCGATTAACCAATTGTGCGTACAGATGAAGTAGTGAAAATAAACGATGGTTTAATGTTTATCAAAATAGTTAATCTTGAAACAAGAAATGATTTGTAGTCCGTCACAGAAACCTAGCTGTTTGCCACTCAGGAACAAAACGTGGATCAATTCCTTCATTTCCATATTTGCTGTGCTGTTTTTTGGCATACAATATAGACTAAAACCTGTGTAAATAATGTAATATCGGAATAAATCCCATGGTCCGTAGATGCATGTCTACTCATATCTAAATCTGTTGTGTCTGATGTTCACCACAATTATTTTATTTTAATCTTACGGGCATCGCTACTCCTAATCTAAAATCAGATTGTTGGTTGCGTCACATACAGTAGGTTCTATTTATCACAGGATTAATGTCTCCTAATTTATATCAAAATATTCTCATACGGTCAAGGGTCTCAGATGCCTCCTGCCGAGGACGCGCTACTCAAGTTAGAGGACGAAAATCGAAAATCCGAGTAGGTAAACCAATGGGGTAATCAGCAAAACTGAATCCTAATACCAAACCAACCAGAAAAAGTTGAACGAACCACATCTACATCTAGTTCAAACAATGGTCATCGGCTTGATTCAACACGGGTAAATTAACTACGTAGGACGTTTTACACCGT